CCTTCGGCCTTCCTTTCCCCCAAAGAAACGCCCCGAGCTCGCCCTTCCTCGAAGCGGGGCTTTTGCGGGGCGGCCGACCGGCCGGGCCGCTCGCCCAGCACGCTGGCCCGGCCTCAGATGCGGGTCAGGGCGTCGTGGGAAACGGTGCAGAGGTGCAAAGAGGTGCAAAGAGGTGCAGAGCGATCCGGCCCGCTGGCCCGGGTCTTTGCACCAGAGGCAGGAGCCGGTAATTAATTAAGGCGCCAGTAGTTTGCCAGCTTAGGTTGGTGGCAGCCAACTAGGGGGCAAGTTGGGCATATCCTGGGGGTCATGGAGCAACCTGAAATTGCTTGTTCGGGTCAGTTTGTTGGGTGAAACAAGAGTCTGGTTTGTTGGTGGGGTAATGACATCATTGGAGACCAGGAAAAGGGGTAATTGGGTCAGTCAGTTTAAGAAGCCCTGGCTTAGGTGTATGTAGCAAATCAGGCACCAAATAGTAAAAATTTGCTTATTCTTAAACGCCTGTTTTATTTGTCCAGCTTTTTTTTTTTTTTTTAACTTTTCCTGTTTTCTTACTGGAATCAATCTCTGTTTGTTTATTTATTAAATTTATATGCTGCCCATCTCCCCCAGAGGGTGACTCTGGTCGGCTCGCAATTAAAATAACCCCCCCAAACAGTTAGAAATATAAATATCCACATTAATTTAGTTAAAAAGACAAACTATATAAAGTTCTCCACCCTGCCCCCTTAGAAAAGGCCTTAGTATTTTAAGGCTGTGTTTGCCTGGCATGCTTATCTGTGGTTAGCACCTTGGTTTATTCCACCCAATTACCTGCAATATAATAGCAAACTGGATCTTAAACTAACAATCGTCCCTTGTTTTGCACAAGGGACTAGCCCAAAAGTTAGTTCGTGGTTGCATCTGTTCCAGGAGTGTGGCTGGGAGCAATGAGAATGGGAGCTCTGTACTCTTCAGGGATTGGAGCTGTATGGTTTCAATACGGCTTTGCAATTTAGCCAGGTGGGCTATCAAATTCACGGGCTAGTCCATCAGTCTGCAGCGGAGAGAAAGATGGTGAGGTAATCACACCATCTGCTTTGCAGAGGGACCAGATTGCCTGTGCCATTGACTCCCTTGATCTCTTCGGTTCCATCTGGTAACCAGGGTTGACTTAGTGCTGCTATCTGCTGTGATTTTATTGCATGTAAACCATGGTTCAGCTAACACAGGGGCAAGTATGGTGTGCGAGTCTGACCAGTTGAAGTAGTTCTTCTTTTCCCTTCCCTGTGTATTTAGTGCTGAGTGTTGTTAAGTCTGAGAGCAGAAGAAGCTTATTGTTTTTACTATTGATTTGTAAAGTGCTCTAAGAATGTTGTTGTTGTTGAAGAGCAGGAATTAAATGCTATAAATATCGAATAAATATTTTTTTGGCTATTAAGGCTGTTTAAGGGCCGTGGTGTCTTTTCCACAACAGTTAGTGGTTATTCTTGGTGAGAGGAGGAACAAGTGGATTGCAGACATGTATTATAAGATTTAAAAACACCCCTTTTTAACAAGATGTATTTTCAGAAAGGGGGCTTTTTTTCCCCTGATGCTCCTCAGAAAATTCCTTATAGAATCCCTTTAGAAAATCCAACAAGTAACTTTGCTTGGGTATACAATAAAACCAGCTCTGAAAGAGATCTCTTTTTGGGTTTCTGGATATCAGGGGGATGTTTCTGGTAGTGGTAAAAATAAAAATCATCCCTTTTCCCAACTCTCTAGTTGTGGCTTAATGTGTTGCAGTTTGTAAACCATGGCTGAGCATGATACATGAACCCAGCAGTTTATTTAACAACCATGATTTAAAAAAAACAAAACCATGTCTCAGTACAGGATGTGAACCACGTCTGTGGGTTTCAAACAATGCTGCAGTTGGACCATTATCTGGGAAGAGCGAGTTCTCTGAAACCTAGTTGACATTTTTATGTAATGAATTAAACAGTGTAGATATTGCAAATGAGCCTCACAGTTAGACTCAGATTTGGAAATTCCAAGGTGGAAACGGGTTGGTAATGGATCCCGTTGATTGGCAGCAGGACAGTTTCTTTGTAGGTCCCAGTGTTTTTGCAGGCTTTGTGATAATGAGATGGAGTTTCAGCTCTTCTTGAGCATCAGTTTCTCAATAATAAATAAATTTAGATAAGGCTAATAAAGATAGGGCTGTTGCCAGGGATGTCCACAGGGTATAGTAAAAAAAAAAAGTAAAGATGGTGACCACGATGGTGTGATTGAACCGTTGCCCATCTTTTATGTGTGTTGCACCATCACGGCTGCCACGCTGACTTTTTTTTAACCATACCCTGCAGACACTCCAGGCAGGGCAGGTAACCCAATCCCTTGACTCGTTCTCCATTGCAACGGTGAGAGTGCTTCCAAACCAAATGTTTGTGCTGCTCTCGATGAAAACCCTCATGCAGCTCTTTCACCTTTTCTTCCTCAAGATTTGTCTCCAGGAAGGAACATGATGGGAGCTTAGAAAGGGAGGACAGCGTTGTCTTGACCCGGGTTGCAATTCTGGGAATTCGTAGCAAAGTATTCATAGGTATTGGGTAATAGAAGCACCATCTGGGAGCATGTCTGTCTAGTCTGTGTCTGTCTGTGGTTTTTTAAAAAGATGGTTTTATATGCTTTTTATATTCTGCTTTTTTGGGGGGGGGTAGTGCTTTTAATTGTTGTAAGCCGCCCAGAGTCATGTATTTGAGATGGGCGGCTATCATGAAATAATAAATAAATATTCCTCCATGGGAAAGTGATTCAGAAGAGAGATGGTAATGGGACTGGGTGCATAACGCTCTTAGGTGAAAACACCAGGTAGCTGGGGGGAAGGTCCACTCTTCATAATGAAAAAAAGATCCATTTAAATTTCTGTTTTCTTTCCATGTGGCTGGAAGCCTTCCAGGCCTCCCTGGGACTGCAGAAGATACGGTTCTTTTTGCCAGGGCTGCTGTATTGTCCTGTTGGGCACATCCAGCCCACCCAAAGAGCAAATCAGTTGAGTTTCTCCATTCATATTCAAGCCGGAAGAGAGGTTGGTCATGCCGATGAAAAAGAAGGGCAAACAAAACTCGGGGAAGTCCTCTGCATTGGGTAACCAACCTGGGACATCCAAGGATGCCTTGGAGAAGATGTACCAGACCCCACTTTCTAAAGAATCCGCTAAAGTCAGTTTGGGTTCCCAGTCAAAGATGGCTTCATACAGCAAGGAGATGTTTAGCACCTGGAGAGACATCCGGTGGTACCAAATTCCTTTGTCATCTTTAAGGAGACCCAAAGCCCGCCTTTTCAGCTTCACCTTCCAGTCCAGCCTGCAGAAGTACCAGCAGCTTCGGAAAATAAAGCAACTGAAAGTTGGGCGGCCCTTCTCTGTCCTGCCTCTCCCTAACTTATCCTTGTCGTTTACGGATCCTGCGCCATTTCAGGATACGTTGCAGGTAAGTGTTGAGGCAGGATTTGGGGGAATATACAAGACTGGACAACATCAGCTCTTCACAGCAGTGTTTCTCAACCTTGGCAACTTTAAGATGTGTGGACTTCAACTCCCAGAATTCCCTATGCTGGCTGGGGAATTCTGGGAGTTGAAGTCCATACATCTTAAAGTTGTCAAGGTTAAGAAACACTGCTCTACAAGGCAGGATCAATGGGGTTTCTTTCCTTAATGTTTCAATTGGGAAGGAGACCTCCGAACGACCCTTCATCCCTTGGTTGGCAGATAAATTGTGATGTGTAAACTTTTCTTGGAACAGACACTCATGTGTCGAGTCTTGAACCCACGGGTGTTAAAAATGAATCACATTTCTTACTGTCTTGGTCAAAGGGGCCTATGCTGAATGGCCCCAAGCTGAATGATCCTTCATAGGAAAGGAATATGGTGGGGTTTTCTTGGTCATAAATTTGCTTTGGGGCGCTTATCCTAGACAGATTTAAAGGTAGCACAAGGCCTTAACGCAGTGAAAGGTGCAAGACTTAGCCTTTTTTTTAAAATCTGACTTTGATCTTTGAATAAATGTTAGCTGAGTTGGCCAGACATGCTCAGCTAAAACAGGATTGGGGGTAATTGGAGGTTTGGTATGTTTTGTGAACCAGGCCATCAGATTTACTAGAGCTCATTTGTTTGTACTTAGCATTTTTCACATCCCAGGGACTGGTTTTTGTTAACTTGGGTTAACATTTGTATTTATGTGAGTCCAGCCATGAAGTAAGCTTTATTAAATCTTATCACATTTGTCCTGCAGCGTGATAATCACGGATCTTCAAGAGCTGGTGGATCTAAAGGAAACAAAAGACTCTCAGCCCATAGAAATGGTAATGTTCTAAAATATATTTCTGATAACGCAGGGGGAGAAACATTGTCCTCAGGCCCATCTTAGGACCTGTTAAGATGGTTGCTCCAAAACTAGATCTAAAACCTGTGTAATTAATGTTTCTTGGTGACTATGGACCAAAAGTGGAAATGCAGTGACTTAAGGACATCACCAGAGGGGGTGAAATTGGACTTTTTGACCTGGTTTCTTTGTACTTTATATTATTGGGACAAAGGGACAGGGTTCTTAATGGATGCATAGAGCGCCATATTTTGGACGTGATTGTGAAAAGGTGCTTTGAAGCATACAGAATACGAACCTAGCACTTTTGGGGAATCAGACATAAAGCACTGCACAACCCCGTTGGGCATCAGAGGCTTAAGAACATTTTCTAGTGTTCTGGGCAGGAAATTAGTGGGAAACAGTTTTCAATTGTAGGCCATTTGCCCCTGAAAATTGGCAGCGTGATTTGTAAGCCGCAGGGAGGGGGCAAGAGAATCGCATGTAGTTTATGCACTTGCCACCCCTGTTTTATAAAATGCCAGCTACAATTAAATGTAATATAATAATCCAAAGTGCTCTCAGTACTGAAAGATTTTTATGGAAAGGCTAAATATTGTTCACCGTACCTGTATTTTACTCCGCCCCCAGCTGAGAGTGGCCTCCTACAAAGCAAATGAGCATGCAGATCTGTACATGCAGAGAATTAAACTTTCAAAGAAAAGCCTACTTGTTAAAATAATATTTTTCTGATGAGCTGTTTTAGATCAGACTGCCGTTTCTCATCTGTGGAACAGATTGCTGTATTACCCAGGGTTGATATGAATATTATGAAAATAAGATTTGTCAAGAACATTACATGCCCAAGTTGCTGTAGAAACTAGAAATAATAACTGGTTGAAATGCATGCTATTATAGGCACAGTGCTATTTAAATCCTGGAAAACATGTAGCTAGCAGGGTTATGTCCAGGCATTAATCTGATTTGCCAAAAAAAAAAAAGACTCCCTTTTTAATATTCTTGGAACAGATGAGAACCAATAGAGGGCAGTCTTTTCTCTAAAATATTATTTGACCTTAGAATTTTTTCCCCATTCAATTACAATTGAATGAAAGTTGTGTTTGTTAGGCTGAAAGGTTTCTTCTCGAAATGACAGCTCTAGCCTTGGCATTTCAGATCTACTGGAGCACAATTGCACAAGCTGTTTTACATACTGTTTCTCTTGTGAAGATTGCCTTTTTATCTTCTAAAGTGCTATGTCAGCCTTCTGAAATATTCTACCGGGCTTCTACTTGACAGGTGTGTGGGCTGTCATCCCCGAACTGCACCAGGTTGGGGAGACTGCCATTTTTTTTGGCATCCCATGGGATATGCAACTTTATTCATGATGAACCCCTCATTGAGATTGTAGATTTACCTAAGGAATAAGAACAAAGGGATCAGTTCTCTGTGGCTGTCTCCTTTACCCTCTTACTCTGCAGTGGCATTGCTCTGTGGTTGAGTGAAGGGAGAGACTGTCAAGAACATTGAGGCAGGGATAATTTGGAAAAACAGTATGCAGTTATAGTGGTTACTTAGGCTTGGGTATTGCAGAGAGACTTGGAAACTGTGCCGAGGGCCACATGGGGAAAATGGGTTTGGAAGAGAGCGTCATGGAGATCTTTGGGGAGCAGTTTCAAGAGCAAAGGATAGCGAAGAAGACAGGAGCAGCCGTGTTTGTAAGCTCTGGAGATCTTTGGGGAGGCAAGGTGATGGCGTTTTGGAGACACAGAGAAGGTTCCTCTCCAGTCTCTCTCCTGGCACTTTTCAGCAGAAAGCGATTTCTGCACGCCTGGGAGTGGTGAAGCAGGGGGGGTCACCGCAGTTTTTTCTCCACTGGAATTTGTCCCAGAAAAAGCTGGTCTAATTTCTTAGTTTTATTGCAGGGAATGGAGGGCCTTGTTATCACAGGTTTAATGTGTTTTTTTTACCCTGGGGGAAGGGTCATTTTTTGGGATCTAGTATGAGGCATTCAGTGTTATTCTCCAAAGATGCACCTTTCTTTCTGTCATAACGCGTGCCAAATGCATCTCGTATTTCTTAGAAGAATCGGAATGAAAGCTGCACTACTTAGAAACCTGGATTAAGTACTCAATGCCGCATTCTGTAGCTTTGATTAGTCTCCATGGAGTGTAGCATGAGCGCCTTCCTGGTAGTAGCTCTTTCCTTTTCTCCAGAATCTCAGGCTTTTCTGCGACGGATGCAGAAGAAGCTTCAGAGGCGCCAACCGTCTGCAAACCTGCTGCACCCAAAATGCAACTCCTCTGCAGGAAGTTCTGGCCAGCCATGGGAAACAGGGCTCTGCAGGAGCTCCAGAAAGAAATCAAAGCAGGGAGATTGTGCTCCGCTAGCCGAGACCCTTGAAGGAGGTGACAGCTCCAGTTTATGGAGCAACCCCAACTCTCCATTGGAAGAGGAGAAGGAGGATGAGATGTTCCCTCCAGACTGGACACCACCACGGACTGCATTCCTGTATAATGAAGAGCCACCCCCTCTCAGCCCTGCCTCTGGATCGATACCTGAATTTCAAAGCTCTGGGGAAATGCCAGACATCATTGAAGAGCCTGGTGGGTCTTCAAGGATGGAGTTGAGAGTTAAAGCTCTCTCCCCAGTTGGGAGCCCTGTATTTGTCCTCAAAAACTCTGGTGCCATGCAGCTGAAGGAGTTTGGAAAGAGGCATGTGGACAATCCAGAGTGCTCTACATTTGATGTCTGTCAAGCAGCAGATGAGGAACTGGAAGAACTTGTCCTAGAGGACCAAAGAGAAGTCAGCAACCAGGGGGTCTTAGAGCAGGAAGAATGCTCTCTTTTGCAGTCTCCAGTCTTTTCATCGGGGTCCCCATCCACAGAATGCTTTAAAAGCAGCATCTTAGTGTCCCTGGATGGGTTTTCAGGGGGTCCAGCGAGACTGGCCTGTGAGTTGGATGTGGAGGGGGACTCTGGGACAGAAGGTTCTTCTTCGTCGCTCCCTGTCCATCTACTGCTGCCTCGCTCTGGGATTTCCTCCAGAAGCAGCATCTCAGCCTCCTCTGATGAGCTTTCAGGAGATCCCGGGGGACTGACCCAGGGCTCAGTAATGGAGGAAGATATGGATGACAGCAGCCTTGTTCCAGTCAGAGATCTCCTCCAGATGGACGATTCCAGTTCCAGCTCTGTGGAGCTGAGCCCGGTGGGTAGCCCAATGAGCCGGTGTTTGAACTTCCTTCAACTTGGTGTTCTTCAGAACCTTGGTCTTCAAATCCCATAGCTAGCCAGTAGCCCCCATTTGATTTACTCGCCTTCTCTGGGCTCGATTCACATATTTTACTAAGCCTTGTGGTTTGTTTGGCTTTGGCATAGCATGTTGCACAAACCCAGCCCTTGTTCTTTTGTAAAACATGGCTTATGGCAAGGGTGAGCAACAGGGGCCACCCTTAAGACTCTCTCAGGAGAGCAAGAGGTCCACTGGGAGGGGTGGTAAAGCATAGAGGGTGGGGTCATGTCCTGTACTTGGGAGAGGCAGGATCCTTTGTTTTATTTTTCCTGGCATCTTGGCCTCTGAGTGGGCTTACAACATAGTTGTTCTATGTTTTCATTCCCCAAATGGCAGACAGTCTTGTTGCTGACTTCTGCTAATTATGATGGGAGTCTCTGGGAACCTCAAACAGGAGGCTCAGCAGCCACATACATTCCTGACACCTCATATTGCCAATCTCTGATTTATAATGTAAGGCATTGTATGAACTAACCAGCTTTGGTTTATTCAGTGAACCATAATTAATTCATAATTTGCTCATCAGGGTCATGCTTTGGCCCCCTTGGGCTTTTCTGACCCAGACCAAATGCCACTGTAGATCATGGATGCACAACGTCAGAGCCAACTTCTCATGAGGCTTGTGGGCAAGCGTCCATGTGCCATTACAGCATCCAGGAAGCATACACTTCAGGGAGTTGGCATGATCAGGATGACCCTCAATCGACATTTATGTAGCTTGTGTTTGACAAGCTATTGCAGATTTCAGAGCCACTCTAGAAGGCCCTCAGATGTTGAGAGAGTCCCTGGGAAGCTTATTTCCAGAGCAGCCTCCTGTGGCCATCTGGAAGCTGCCTCCTTTTCTGAATGAGCCAGTGTTCTTGAGGTGCTGCTATATGTGAGGCATCATGAGAAATAGAAAATGGTTCCCCTCCCACCATTTATGGTTTGCAGACTCCATTGCTGGGGGTGGGGATTGCTAGGGCTGGCAATATGGGGGCTCTGAGCCTTGACAATATGCCAGGAGTGGACCCAGCTCTTGCTTGCTGAGTCCCAGGTTTGGCAGGCTGGCCCATCCCAGCTTCCCAGTGATGTGCTTTCCTCTTGCCTTTGCATCTAGTGTCCCTTGCCAGGACCCGAGAGTTACCTGAGCAGTCTGGACAAGCTTCTTGAGGAGAAAAGGTAAGCCTGGAGTCTCACTGGCAAATCTGATGATTGGGACCAACCCATTAGGAGAGGCCACTTATTTATTTCCTGGAGGGGGAGGTGACACAAGGCAGCAGCAGGAGGAAGTGGAAGAGGGACGGATGTCATTTTTCAAAGCCCACAGTGTGAGAAGATGCATCTCAGGAAGTTGGGCAGGTCTTGAGAGTTCAAGGCATCGATGTGTGGATTGAGCTTCCAGAATTCTTTAGCAAGAATCTTGCTAGCTGGGGGATCCTAAGAGTTGAATTCCACCCATCTGGAAGCTGCCAGATTGGGAAACACTGTCATAAAGCTTACACTGTTTGTGGTATAGTTGGGTAGGTTTAGGGAACCCTATTCTTAGAAGGTCAGAGCACGTGGCTGCATTTAGCTGAGCTTGACTGATTTCTCCCCAGAGCAAACCAAGGTTGGGTTAGTACCTGGATGGGCTGGGAAATCCAAAACACATCCGGGAAAAAAGGCAGTAGCATATTCTGTGTTGCTGCTGAGAAAAATGTATGGTTGGTCCATGACGTCATTGGAAGTCAAGCTCAGCCTAAGGATGTATTTCCCCTTTCCTTTTTTAAGACCGTAGTCTATACCTGTAAAAGAATTTAAAGATGACTGGTAAGAAAGAACCGTCAGAAGCTATTACATAGTCCAGAGGTTGAAGCAAGTGTGAGAAAGAAACTCAGAATGACCCCACCTTGATTTTGTTAGAATAAGGGGGGACGGAGAGAAACTTGGGCAAGCTTTCAAGATTGTGTTATTATACCCAACTATAATAAAGCAGTATTCCTGGAATCCTAGTGGTGTCTGTCTCCTGATCTGGCCTGTCTCAAGGAGCTGACAATATCCAACTGGGGGTGTCTGCCCCAAGGGCCTTGTGTTATCCTGCACATGTCACTCTAGCTCTTTTAATCTGTCATCCCATGCTTACTGTTGATTACCCTACTTACATTACTTGTCCATAACAGCTCACTTTCCTTCAAATCCTAAAATCTGGTGCTTAATCCTGGGTGCAACCTGACCCAGAGAGACCCCGAAGTTCTCTGCAGGGACCAGCCATTCTGCGACTCTTCCATTAGAAGATGCAATTTGTCAGAGTGGTATATACAATTCACCTTCCCTCAAGCTCTCAGAGACCTGGTTGTCAATGTAACATTAGAAGATGTGATCACCCTGTTCTAGAGCAGCTGAAAATTCCTTCCTTCCTTCCTTCCTTCCTTCCTTCCTTCCTTCCTTCCTTCCTTCCTTC